TTTGTTATCAGATTCTTTTGAAGCAGACCTGCTGCCCTCTGTGACAGCTCGCACACATTTGTGAGTTATAGCAAAGTGATTTACTTTAAAACTGCTTTCCTGTGTTTGTGTTCGCCTGCTGCGAGTGTGTACTTAACATCTGTGTGTGTGTGTTTGAGCAAGGGAGACCTCTGCCATTGTTGAGCTTTTACAGCTTGACAACTGGGAGCCTGGTAGGTTAAAAATAATCCAGTGCTTTTCCAATTTTGTCATCTTTTAGGATTGCTTCTCATGGCTGTTTTTAATTTTGTGTGCGTGCCCCTGGAACGCTCAGGGTCACCAGTGGCCACTTCCTGTCACATGGTTCTTCATTGTAGTGCATGCAGCTGTCCCTAAACATACTCAAAAGTAGGACACCTGGGAAGGCTGTCATATTTTTGAATTGCACACCAGGTGGGCTAGCCTAAATACTGTCACAAATTGACAGCCTTTTTTTTTAAAATATCATCCTATCTTAGAATGATCTTTTCCTGAATGAGCTTCAGAAGCTAAGTCAGTGTTCTGCACCGAATTAGGCCACAAGTATAGAAAGAAATGACAATATGAAAAGTGTTGTTTGTGAAAAGTATGCTGTTATTTATTTTGATGTCTCCGCAAACAAAGAATTACAGTAAAACTGGGACTTAAAATAAGATATGCAGCCATTTGTGTGTGCCTGCAGAACACAAGTAAAGCAGCTGAGTTTTGTGTCCGTTTAAATAACCAAACACCCAAATTGATATGCATGCCATGCAAACATCCCTAGTGAGCTAAGCAAATGCATTATATAACTTGTTCTCAAGTATCAGATGATGGGAAACAGAGGGACACTGCTGAAATTAGGTTAATCTGAAAGAGCTTTATTATGTTGAAAATACTTCCTGTTGGTAATTGATTCACTTTTCATCTAGTTTCTTCATCTTGGAGAGGCTGAAAGCTAAAGTGTTGACTGAGGTTTTGTGGTTGGATTGTTTCTCATTTGTGTAGGGCACAGTATTTAGAGGAGTGACGGTACCTGTACTTATACACAAAGCAGTTTGTTACAGGTCAAACAGGCCAGTCTTTGAGTAATGTTCAGCATACTGTCACACCAGGAGCTAGTTGGTGACTTTTTAATCGCAGCAGCTCATTCAATACACAAGATAAATATTTTAGCATCATGTTAATGGGTGAAGGTTTTAAAGTCACCATGGTTTCACTCCTTCCAGCCAATAGTGGTGGGAAGTAACTAAGTAGGATACATTTACCCAAGTACTGCATTTAAGTACAATTTTGAGGTATCTGTACTTGAGTAATTTCATTTTGCGCTGCTTCATAATTTGACTTCACTACATTTCAGAGGCAAATGTACTTTTACGTCCAGTAGACTTAATTTATAACTTTAGTTACTTTTCAAAACCAGATCAGTTACAGTATAATTATAAGACTTTATTGATTTCTGGTGGAAAATTCACTTGCTACCCAGCAGTAACTAAAATTATAAGCATATAATGAAGTTAAAACTAGTTCCCTTTTATCAGCTGCAACATTTAATGTGATGTACACAATAATGCATCAGTAATTATAATCCAATAATTTGATATACATCAATGTGAAATGTGCCAGTCTTCATGAGTATCTTTACTTTTAGTACTTTAAGTATGTTTTGATGCTAATACTGTTGTACTTTTACTTTAGTAACATTTTCAATGCAGGACTTTTATTAGTAACAAAGTATTTTTACACTTTTGTATTTTACTACTTTTACTTAAGTAAGGAATCAGAGTACTTCTTCCACCACTGCCAGCTAACCTACTGTATCGGTTTACACAAAAATAGATGCTCCCTGTTATCCAGTCTCTAGTACTGTATTGGTCACTTTTGCCATTCAGTAGCTATGAGGCTCATGGGACCCTCACGGATACCCTTTGCCAATGCTGGTTTCCTCATTCGTCACGGACATCATCCCCAGTGTATTCTCATCTAAACTTAGCTGCGGCACACATCCAATCAAATAGCTCCTTTTGCTTCTTCTGGACATTGTCCAGAAATGGCTATAAACTAACATGTCATGTCTTGATTCAGTAAACAGATCCTGCATCAAAAACCTTCAGAAAATACCACATGGGATATGCTTTATTTTTCCATACATGCTCCCAAAATAGTTGACTTAATGGAAGCTTTTTTTTTTTTTTTTTTTTTTTTTATACAGTGAATGCTATTGTGTTTTTAAAATAAAAACTTTAACAATATGTAATCATGGGAGTTTGTAGGAAATGTATTGGGAAGGGATCTTTATGCAAACATGATGCGGTGGGTAGAGCCGCCGTCCACCCACCGGGAGGTTGAGGGTTCGAACCTCGGTGCCTGCACGTATGACATTAAAATAAAGCTTCTTCTTCTGTGACGGAGTTCAGCAACCCCCCAGCCCGAGCCAATCCTTTCAAACTAGTTGTGGCAGATTTTGAGCCAGGCTCCAACCTGGTATTATGCGACTTTGTTAAGTTACTTTTTTTTTCTCAGAAGAAGAAATAATCATGTAGTTTGAGAGAATATGCGGCCATGCCAACTTGTAAATTTGCGCCGTTTTCAGCGCTGAATAGCCTAACTAAGCTACCTGTTAGCGGAGACAGCTAGCGCTAATTAGTAGGCAGCTACACTTGTTCAGAGCAGAGTCGTCTGTCAGCAAAGACACTAGCGTTCCAATTGAACTGCCCTGCCGTCCTCGGGACACTGGATTGCAAGCATGTTTGTATTAAGGTAAATAGTGGTAATATTTTCATGTCTGCAACGGGAAATGGATTAAAATGCGTACGTAGCAGTACGTAATACTGCGCATACGTCAGAAGTAATGTGTCCAATCATAGCACGTGCTCAACACAAACCTCCAGACCGTGTAGCATTACCCAAAGACAGGAACTAGCTAGTTTGGATCTGTGTAAAGGTAATAAGAACATAAAACAAACAAGTCAACCAACCCATATCATGTCATTTTACACCTTGTTTTTTTAAACGAATTAACGAGATACATTAACTACTGAGCTACAGAGGTGCTTGTATTAGCATGTGCAGCTTCAGACGTTCCACTTTTTATGCTATGGTATGCTATACTATGCTAAAATAAGATAAGCTACTCGGCTGCTAGTTGTAGCATATTTATAGTACCCAGACATGAGTGGTAATTTGCAGTGTTCTTATGTAACTCAGCAAGAACCGAATAAGTATATTTCCTATAATGTCAGATTTTTGGACTTTTTGCATCAATTGTATGATTATTTATAGATATTCCACTTTATTATTTTCAGGATTAATAAAATGGCTGCAGTTAAATTTGATACACCTAAAAGTAGCATTTTCTGAAATTCACAAGGAATTGACGTTTTTAATCTTAAAATATGCTATTCCAGTTGTCACTTGTTCGCATAGAGTATCTTTTCTATCACCCAGATTGTTCCTCTGATAGAGAAACTTTACTTGTTACCAACGCTAGCTAAATGCCTTAGAGACGTGTTTGGATATGTGTTGCTGTCTAGTTGTTGTGCCAGCCTCAGTTGCTGTGTGACTTTGTGTTTGATCAGAATCTGTTGTCTAACAGGGAACATCACTGGTTGGGCCTTGGCATGACATAGTCTGACATTTTACACAAGACTCTATAACATTGTCCTTGTGTATCTATTTTGTTAAGGGATCTTTAAAATTATAACTTAAATCTTAGTCAAATGTGGTTTTGCGCTTTATATACCTTTATTTGTGTGTGTACGTGCATGAGCAACAGTTTGTGTGTGTGTTTTGTGGCTCCACTGAGACAGTTCGGCTCCTGGCCAGCTCAAACTGTCCATCGCTTGGAAGACTCTTAAGTAATGGGTTCATTTCCCCAGTGGGACAAGGGGGGGCTGCATTAAAAACAAGGGGTGGATGCTTAGAGGAGGCTACAGGAATGACAACAGTGCACACCAGAGTGCAGCAGGAGCACAGTGGAGTGTGTGTTCCCGTGAAAATGCTGAGCTGCTTTGTGGACGATTTTGTTTTCTAGGATGGCCATTGAAGGCATCCAGAGATACACAGTATATCAAACTAATCCTTGATTTGTTTTTAACCAGAAAAAAATTCACTGAGGTTAGCAAACTCTTGTGTAAATATTGCAAGTTTATTTATTTAATGAAGCATTGACAGGGTTTAACTATAGTGTAATGGAAGCTGATTTACACCGATAAGGAATCTAATATTTAACAAGAGTAAGATTGAAAAAAGTGTGTGAGATTAAAAGCAATAAGATCTACAGCATTCATTCTAAAAAACATAAAGCTCCAAATGGTCTGAAGGAGTAGGTCTTATTAAAAGTTATTTTACAAAGGCAGCATGTACCTCAGAATTGGAGAATAGCCCGAATCAGAAACTTTTTACATTATTCAGGGTAGTGATGATGCAGTGTTGGATGGGTATTCCTTCTAGGAGTACACATTGAAAACTCTCTCCGCATCTTGCAGTTATTCCAAATCACACAAGGACGTTGAATACATTTTAATAAATGCCAGGAGGATGGGTGCGGTCAGGCCCCTGAAGGCAGGTAGAGCCATTTCAGCATGAACTGCCTGTAAGAAGTGCACTCAGGAGGAAAACGAGTCCTCCACTCTCCCCCTAGGGAAACGCATATTGTATGAGGCATACAAGCACCTTAATATTCTTTGCTCTTCAAACCCCACTAGAGTCTTTATCATCACAAGCATATGCCTTAGCATTATCACAGCTTTACAGCAATGCAGAAAGAAACAGTTTGCTTGTGCTGCAGCCTTCACTTGGAAACTTGTTTACACTGTATCCACACATACGTGTATATATATTCCATTGTAACTAAAAACAAAATGAGGAAATTTGCCATTTGCTCCTGACAAATAATGCCTACACATCATTGTGTAAACTTCTTCCAGCTGCTTTACAACCTTCTCCTGAACCTTCATGGGTGACCTGATTTTTAAAAAAAATTTTTTATATGCCCCCTGTAGACCCCTGTCTTATAGTGATGCCACCATGCATGGGTGAGGCCGATCGCTTCAGTCTGGAGGCACTCCGACACATCCACAAGCAGCTGGATGACGACAATGACGGGGGAATAGAAGTCAACGAGAGTGTGGAGGTGAGTTCTGAGAATGTGCATTTATGATTTTAGATGCTAAGTTCTCATTCAGCATGTTGCCCGAGGATGCATAATGAGGAAACTTAATTTTAAATGACACTTAAGGCAAAACCTGTGACCTTTAGATTTTAAGTGGTGGTTTCTAGCTACTGATTTCCAGTATTTTCTCAAGTATCCCTTAAAGTGGCCACTAAAAATTCTCTTAGACAAAATAATGTATATAGATTTTTGTCTGAATGTAGCCTCTTTGTTGTGAAATACAGAATGCTCTAACATTTTCTGGACATTAAAATCCTTCAGGAGGAAGGAAGAGCTGAGAAGCTGGGAACCACTGGGGTAAAAGGATTAGGCTTCATTGCTTTGCAAAACCAAATCAAATATAATAATTGTTTTTTTTTTTTTTAACTTTTGACAAAACCTTTATTATTGTAAATGTTAAAAATACGTTATTGTTGAAAGCAATTGAGAACCACACCACAGAAACCATTCTGTGAACGTTCCACCATCTTAATGTTCTCTCTCATGGTACCATCTCAGTAGAGAACCAGTATTTCTTAGATCATTAGGTTAGCTAAAGCAAACCTGAGTGGTTTCGTTTGAACCTCAGAGGTCGTTGATTACAACGTGTCCCTGCAGCCATAAACATCTGTTTCAAGTGGTGTCACCCCTGAAAGTTGATCACCACATGAAGTGAAAATATTTAGATTACAATGTTAACAGTGCATGTGGCAGTGGTTGAGGCTTTGTAGCTGCCCTACAAATAAAATAATTCATACTGCTTAGCAGTTAGTCATCAGAGGACAGAGCCAAGTTGGTGTCAGCATTCCTGACATAGTCACGTGTCATCAAAAACAGTTAGTGGTGTGTTTCCAGATATTATACTTTTTACTTGAAGCATTTACAGACCCATAATGCTGTTGTAAATTTTGTTCTAGCTACACTGGTAATATATCTTGGTGTGTGTGTGTGGGGAAAGACAGGTTTGTGTAAGTGAGTAGAAGGTTAGGACTGACATCTGAGAGCAGTCTGACCTGCTGCGCCCTGTGCGTCTCACGATAATCAACGACCTCTTGTGTTCAAAAGAACCCACTTGGGAACCTGGGCACATTTTCTGTGTGTGTTTATGTGTTGGCAGGAGTTGTTTAACTGGATATGAAGTGATTGTGTGAGAAACAGTTATACTCTGCAGCCCTGTGGCGGCACCTCAGTAAAGCACTGGATGCGGTTTCTAAAGACCCTTCAGGGCTGTAGGGCTTGATCTGGCAACCAGCCCACTTTAAGGAGATGTGCATCTGTCCATGTAACATAGATACTTGTATGTACTGTATCGGGGTGTGTGTGTGTATGTGTATCACACACACACACACACTGTATATACACACTGTCCCCATCTCACCCATTGTCTTTATAAGGGCAGTGAGTGGTATCTGTTTCTTCCCAGCAGAAAGCTTGGGTTGTATTTGGCTGTTGCTCATTACCGTGGATTTCCAAGCTTCTTCTCAGGCGGAGCAGGATTTCATAACATGACTGATGCTCCTTTCATCAAATTAGTGACTGACTATCATTGAGTTTTATGTTTGACGGATTTTGTCATGTGACCAGAATCGCAGGACTGAATCAAGTGGATTATTCAGGTTAACTGTCGTAAGCGGAAAGGCATGATCACTGCACGGGTGACGGTTTCAGTCTCTTTCTTGCCAATTTAAAGGGCTGTGTGGGATGTGATTAAGGCTGGCATACAGTGTAGGCATTTTCAAAAGAGAGTGACTGCCTAAAGCACAGTGCCAGGTGAGCATAGCCCTTTAAATGCACTTAGTGTCAAAATGCATGACAGAAACTTCAACTTCTTTAGCAGTCGTACACTAATGAGCTCTCACCTGGCTTTAGTATATATACACTATATTTTTGTACAGTTTTCTTTATGTTTATTTATGTAGTTTATTT